TTTGATGAAATTTGATGCACTGAAGTGCTTTGACCCACGGACGAACGCGATTGCAAATGGTTCGGATCGGTCCACTTTTCCGACTACTCCTCATACATCTTTTTTTTATTTGGAAAAGTCGCTGTATGAGCGCACTCGAATAAATCCAATCCCAGAAAAACAAAACCAATTGGCTTTAGAAAGTTAACGCTTTAGAAACCAAATTGCTTTTTAATATGTCGCAGTGAAAATTAACTCGATGATAGTAATTTGATATAAAAATTGACTGTACCCAATTTGCACCATTCAGGTTCATTTTTTGTATTCTACTCCATATGAGGATTCCCAAGCAAGAAAATATCATTTTTAGTATAAAGATAAGATTTTTGACGAGAAAATTAATTTTGTTAAATTTGTGCCCCCTTGTATATAAAAGCACCAACGAAAAGTATGCCTTTAAAGGGGAAAAAGATATAATTTTTGATATTTTGTCAGTTAAATAAGTGAAGAATTCTTTTAAGCGAAATTATGTAGTAAGGTATTTAACAGCCGTACCCAATTATAATGTTCTACCTTTCTTCTATTATTTTTGCTAAAGTCGTTTAGGAAACGTGGAAGCTTCTCGCAACGAGTTTGTGGACCTTTTAACACCAAATTCTAGGTTAATATACTATACTATACTATGGTCTATAAATTTTAGTATTCATGATACCTTGGACATATACATTTTCACCTTTTATGTGATCATAGCCGGGAGATAGAGTACTGTTTGCTTTCTGGTAATAGTAAATTAGCCTGCATAAAATTTTATGTATACATAAAATTATTCTAACTTTTAATGTGTAATTATAATTTTGTACAATAAAATGCCGTCTTATGCTAATTCTACGCAACCATCTACAACCTAAACATATGCTATAGCATTAATATTAATTTCACCCAAATGTATACATCGAAAAAATTTCACAAATTCAAAGCTGCTTTATTACAGTAATCACTTATATTAAGTTTATTAACGTTTCGATTTTTGGCTAATAGGCATCAATTTAATGAGGTTTAATGAAAATGAGCAGCGCATTTCAATGTCTTAAGTCATATTACGGTTGAATGGGTTCTCCTTGGTATCCTTACCAAATCATAAAGTGCATAATTTATAACGCCAAACGGCAGTTTAAGGCTGTTAACGGCTGTAATCAGCTTTATTGTTGTCAAACACATAACCAAATTGAACAACATAAAGGACGAGTAATAAGCAGATGTTTACATACAAATTGATGAGTTACAAATTTATGAGTATGATCATTAAACTGTAGCCTCAAGATATTATAAGATATATATTTATTTCGGCACACCCACACAAACCCGCACACACACACACATATATATATACATATACTGTTACTGAATTCAAGTTACTTTTCGTCTTGTTTGCTTATGCTTCTATAGATTATTAAATGAAGTTTCCTTTCCAAAAAAAAAAAAAAAAAAAAAAAACGAAAGAAAAAAAATTATATGTACAGTCTAGACTTTTTATAACGCAAAGAATGCTAAGGATGAAGTTTTTTCATGGTTTTGCACTGTTTAGGAGCAAATTACTTGAAGATTTGATTACCAAAGTTAAGATAAATGAGTTTCTTTCTTTGCCTTTTTTTTTTTTTTTAAGGGCAAATCGTATTTTAGAGTGTTTCGGACAGATTGCACAAATATTTAAAAGCTTGAATTTAATTAAGTATAAAAGTTCCACAGAAAGCACCGCAAGGCAATTAAATGCATTTAAAGAGAAAAACATACCAACTCTGCACTGTTGGCCGAAAAATGAGTACAAATCTTTATCATGATAAATATGCAAATTGCAAGAAAATAGTCAGTGCTTTCGAAAAAGAATGGTAATAAAGTTTTTAAATTTATAACGAAACTAGCTTTAACATAAGCTTTATAGTTCAAAAGGCTATGAAAGTTCATTTAACAAAAATCTGCCACAAGACTGAACATTTTGCATATTAACGGGAAAACAAATTTATATACAACAAACGTTGTATGTCAAAATTTACCCGAACTTTATTAAACAGTAAAAATTAATTGATTCATTTAACATAATAATGAAAAAAAGCAGAAAAAATTAAATTTTTCGCTCCTATTTGCCAGGATTTAATTGAAGAAGACATTTATTTGTTTTGTTAAATTAAATTGGTGAACAAGAAAATACGCAAGAAAGCACAATTAATTATCCTGGTTTAGTAAAGTTACTCATAGAACGATTTTTCAAAATAAGGCTATATATAGGAAGTAATCGAAATAGTGCCCCCGTTCGTCCTTGGGTCAAAGCAAGCCAGTGCACCATATTTCATCAAAGTATCTGAAAAATTTCGACTTGTACGTTGAACACAAGAAAACAAGGTGGACGAAGGGACGGACAGACAATCTTCTGGATGTTGATGAACTCAATACATACTTATACCAAAAGTGGTGTACTGTATAAAAGCGCATTTTATTGAAATTCTTAACTGTCGATATCAGTAAAAATTTTGAAGCAAAAGTAAGAAAATGAGGAAAATATTGTGCCTACGAACAATTTTGAAGCGAAATTGCTGCCGATTCCATTTACAAAGGCTTTTTCTTCACTGGCGCATATGTGCAAATCATATGAAGAATCAAAGGAAAGTTAAAATTTTTTTATTTTCGATATATCTTTCCATGACAGGTAGAAACAAGTCACACATTAAAAGAAAACTATGTACCGCATATGTATCGGAAATGATTTGCGAAATTTCGATGCCGAACATTTTTTATGTCCAAGATTTACTGATGATATCATATAATATCACCACTTCAATCGGTCCTGAGCACTATTAGACGTTTACCCAGAGTGGAAATAATCTCGGCATAAACGGATTCATAAATTTAATGCCTGGCCGTGGAAAAATGTTAGCTAAAAAAATTTATTGGAACTAAATCAAAGTTGGTAATTAACTACTCGATCGCCTTTCCGTTGTTTTTAAGCAGATAATTACAAGAAAACGGTCATCGTCAAAGTAAAAGAATGCAAAACCCGAAGAAGGACATGCTTCGTACAAATAGAGAAAGTTTCAAGGGCAACGCTAATCTACATGGCGTTTTATTATCGTCGTAGTTCAGATCTTGTCACTTCCGACATATTAATCGGTTGCAACGCCGCACAAAAATTTGGACAAGAAAATTACAGGTCTTTAGAAGTTCCCAAAAACGATGTGGAAGATTCCCGGGAGAATTCACATTAAGAACTTGGGAGTTTGAAGAAAAAGAGATAATGAAACCTGTGGAGAAAAGTCATTGGATTCAGTCCCCACATGTTGTAAAATATAAGGAGGATACGGAACATGGAACCAAATTACAAATAATTTGTAAAAGTGAGTTGTTGACGGCATCGATCAGCTTGATAAAATCTTCGATGAAATACTTAAAGATCTAAGAATAGATTTAGAAAAACATTTTAAATAGTTTGTAAACTTCCAAACTATCAGTGATACACCGAACTATGCCACCTTTTAATGAATTTCTCAGGTTAAAGAAAAAGTTTTTTTTACCGAAAAACTTAATTGAAAAAGGTGCAAATATAAATTATATCTCTGGAGAAAAGCCTACTTCAATCATGACCCTTTGGATAATGAAAAATATTTTCAGCACATTATCCACAATTTGTACACTCACCGTCAGCACGGAAGGACGAAGGATATTCAGTTTGTTCAAACGTTTGCAATCGGAAGCCGTTTAATATGAAATTTTGAATCGGTTTAAGCGGATTCGCTTCCTTGTCTGCCCATTCCTATGATTAACGTCTGTGGTAACATTGGTAATTCTTTCATGCAGATTGATATTGAAATCAGGTAAAGAACACACAATGTAAAATCAGGACACTGTTATTTGTAAAAATATTGCATTTTTTTCTCATGACCCATGTATCCCAAAATAGATGAAGCGGCAAAAATTTCTAGGTCTATTCGCGTACAGCATCGTACGGCACCTGTACAAAAATGGAAATAATCGTCCAAAAGAGAAGAGTATCGAAATTTTCTTCTTTCCGAATATACTGAGATTTGACCACATCTAAATTTAATTTTCTTACTCGTTTTCAAAGGCTTTAAAATGTAAAAGGATAAGCAAAGTCAACAATGCATAGCATATACATATATATATATACGGCCAAGAGAATAACACAAGTCCACCCAAAACTAACCAACAAACCAGCACACGAAGGCTCACAAGCTCACAATCTGTGGTTAATTATTTGAGTAACCAAAGACTTGACGTTGATTTCAAAACCAAGAGATGACGATGACGATAATGTTAAATGTTGAATGCTATTTGTTAAACTTCTATCATAGAGTCGGTAGATCTCCCATAAAGCTGATGGTTGCTGTTTTTGCCCTTGAGTATAGAGCCAAATAATCATGCAACACATATGTATAACGCATACAATTATATAAACTTATCTTTATTGCAAGCATGATGTTGTGGCAAAACAGTTTAAATGCATGTTGATGTGATATGACAACAGTAACAACAACAAAAGCGACAACAGCAGCAATCTGGGTAATAAATGTTGCGTTGTAAGGCTAGAGAAAGGAATTAAAGCAAAATGTGTATCACGATTGTTGGTCTGGTGTCTATGTTGTTTGAAATTCAATGAATTGGAAAAACGGGTGATACGGTCTACGTCTCAGTATAAAAGGAATTGTACATGTAAAAAAAAAAAAAAAAAAAAGATGCGTAGAAACTTGGAAACAAAAAATGTTCCTCCTATGAAGGAGGGACATATAAAAAATTAAAAGTTTTCTAAACACTTCTCTGAGGCTTACGAAGCTTTTGCCGACGACGAATGATACGAATACAAGCAAATTAAGTGTAGCGTACTTCCTTGCGCAAAGCATACGTATTGAAAAAAAAAAAATTTATAGGGGGCTTATGAACAATCCGAGGCATAAAAAAAAATTGAGGCCGAACGTCAGGAGAAGAGAATTTCGCATATGTATACCCGCACTTACCGATAGCCATTGCCGTCTCTTGCGCATCGCCGGTCACCATTTTCACTCTCACCCCGCTCTGCATCAACAATTCTATTGACTCCCTGACCAGTGGCCGAGGTGGGTCTGTGATGCCTACTAGACCGCAGTAAATTAAATCTTGCAAACTTTTACCCTTAGCCAAAGCCAAGACACGCAAACCTTTACGCCCAATTTCATAAGCCTCAGCCAAAAATTCTGCTTCATTTTGCTTAGTCAAGGGAACTGTTTGGCCACCGTATTGATATTTAGTACATTGCGGTAGTAACATATCCAAAGCTCCTTTGGCGAAGAATATCTCTTCTTTGTTGTTATTATATTTGTGTATGCACTTGACAGCCATCATTTTTTGTTCAGATGAGAAGGGGTACTCTTGTATGCGTACATAATTTTCGGCTGTGGCGTACATGCCATTTTTCATAGCGGCCGCTATCAAAGCACCTTCCGTTGGCTGACCCAACAACACACCGTTCTGTATGTAAGCATTATTACAAACGGCGCCAATTTCCAAAAGATTAGTAATATTTGTTTTGGCCATTTCCACATTGTTGCAATTTCGTATATGAATTTCCCCTTGATCATTGTAGCCAGCACCTGTAACATCAGCCATGTATCCGTCGCTTGTGATAATAACAGTAACAGTCATTTCATTTTTGGTTAGCGTTCCTGT